ACTTCTTCTTCTTTGCCTGACAGTGTTCATACATGGCCTTAATGCTGGCACTATTTGCAAAGCTAGCAGAGGCCTCGACTGACAAACAGTCACTGACCTCTGTTGCTGACAGTCCATTCATAGATGCCTGGCAGGTCTTGATTGAAGTGATTGCTTTTATTTCTCCTCCCAGAGAGACTTGTGTGATGTAATGTGTGCCATATGTGTCGATCAGACTGCGATATAATTGCTCTGCTTTTTGGGAATAGGAAGGAAGGGAGTTCACGGCTGATTGAAACTCATGACTCAGTGGAGGTCTTGTGGCCAGCCTGTAGCTGTGAAGCAGAAAGGTACAAATAAGTTAGTTGCAGCCAATAACACTCATGTTTCGAGCTTAAATGACAAGAAGACCAAGATCTGTCCACATACTCACCGGTAGAAGCTACAGAAGACAGAATGTCGAAAGAAGTTGTAGCGGTCTTGTTTTGACTTTTGCATGCCAAAGGTAGAATCTCTGGAGTGGGAACCTCCTAAGCCAACCCCAACAGTGACAGAAGGGTCTACAGGGATTTCAAGGCCGATTTTCCAATTGTTGGACACAGATGATGTGGAGTCATTGACAAGAGTTTCGACAGAATCGTAGACTGTACTGGAGACCTTTAAACTGCACTTGGGGAGGATTCTCCAGTCCACCACAGCAACTGGGACCTTCTGGCTCTCTCCATTCATGTAGCTGTTTCTGTACAGCCTGCAAGTGCCATTGCCAAGCTTCCATGTTTCAGTGTCTATGACATAGGCACCTTTCCGCTCCATTGTGACGATGTCGAATCCTTCTCCACCCAGATTGTAACCAGGGACAAAGTGAGCCTTCGCACACTCCTGCGGTGTACCAATGAAGCTCACACTGGATGGCAGACACAGAGGACTCCATGCCCAACACAGGAGCATGAGCTGCCACAGCCTTGCCATCTGTATGAAAGGGTTGAACAACAAGAGAATCAGAAATGGCATGGACAATCAGTTAAACTATGCAAACTTTGAATGTACAGCTTCAGTATCATAGGAGGAAGGTCTCAGGTCTCTTACCGTACTTTGAGTGTCAACAGCAAGCTCTGTTCAGTGGTTCACAAAGTCTAACGTGAAGTACTGATGTCCAGGAGGTGGAGTCTTATGTAATGTCATATGTTAGATTTTAACACGTTTTGTCCAACTTCATTCACACATTTTTACTACTCCACACCCTACATGTAAGATAATATGAAACATTATGCCCTTAAAAGGGAAAACAGGGCTTTTACAATAACATATTAACACTGAGCAAAGAACCAAGGGGATATATCTGATAAATTTAGCAAAAAAGGGCCAGTTAAGAAACATGTGACAATTGTAATACAAATAATCAAACATTGTGCAAATAAATACACCACAATACAGGGTTCACAGCACTGACAGAAAGGGGTGAAAAAAATCCAGTTGGAGAAGTAATTACAGGCTAATATCTGGCACATACATTTCAAAATGAATATACTGGTATTGAAATATTACAGTAAGCGGTCTAAAATTTCAACAACTCCATTTTGCAGCATTTGACAATGTTACTCTACACAAAGTTTAAACTAATATAGTAGACTAATAAGTAGTTTGTAACGTAAGCTAAATCCAAATATCTACATGTAACTAAGAATTTAAATTGAGAAGTTAATATTAAATTTAAATCAAATCAATCAAACATTTTAGCCTGAATTTCAAATCTGAATGAAATCATTGCATTAAAATGTAAATGTAATGTTAAATTTAAATCCTAATAATAGGTACACTGACTGTACTGTAGCTAAATTAGACTTGCAACAAATAGAGTTGCAATAAATCCTTTACCAGCATGAAGGTTGTAATGTTTAGTTTGTGCAGATTCAATTTAATGGTGATTTTGGAGGTCATAGTTGACTTGTAATGTGTTACACTGAGAACAGTGTTTAATTTGCACAACCCATGTATATGAATGACAGTATACAAAATATTTTTGTGTTTTTATACACATTTCTGTTAGCGTTTTTAAATTTCTGCAAGTTTTTATCTATGCTGGGGGTTGCTTTCCATGGAGTCCACCATGTTGAACCATCATGTTTCTACAGTAGCCCAGAGCTGACAAACCATACACCGTAGATAGGGCCTTTTGCATTTTTCGTGTGTTACGCAGTCACCGTAGTTTCTCCTACACACTTCACTTCACAGGTTGAAGGTCACAGGTCAGCTTCACACTGCACTTCTAGTGCAATGCACTGGTCCATTCAAAATTTTGACCGTTTTTTCTTGCAGTATTTGGAGCTTTCAATGGGAGCACGGACCACTGGTCCAAAGAGTACCCCACTGGTTTAGACTTGAGCTCCTTTAACATTGTCGGACTCTAAAAATCTAACTTTTTCCTTGTCAAACCTACAATGGAACTAAACCACTGAAAGTTTAGCTGCTAACGTATAGTGAGGATGCACTGAGCACAATTGATAGGAAAAGAAAAAAAAGTCTAAGTAAGAAAAAGAGAAATGAGGTAAAAGTAAGTTTGAGAGTTCAACACTTCACAGCTCGCCCTCATAAGTTCCTAAACGCCCTACGTATGATCACAGAGCGCTTTTCGGTTGGCGATTAGAAATGTTGATGTCCTAAAAATTTGTTGCATAGCTGAAAACTTGTTGCAAAAAATGTTAACGTGTGAAATTGAAGCACAGTGAATGTAGCCACTATTAGACTGGTTTGTGATCTTGAATTTGACTTTTTCATTTGACCATCTGCTTTCACAAATAGGGCCTGCTACAGGGAAGCAACTCCACAGAATGTTGATGCTACCAGCAGGGTGAGGATGGTGTATTTCTGCAGACATATAATACTTGAATTAAACCAAACACAAATCATGCCAGTAGTCTATTGTGAATGCCAAAAACACTTGATCATCAATAAACATTTGTTTTGTTTTGATGTGTCACATGGGCAAATACACCAAATATACTGTTGCAGTGGTGAAACGTGTCAAATAAAAGGATATCAATTATTACACAAAACTGAAAGAATCCATAAAGAGGAGGAAATTCTGCAGATATTTGGGACATTTTGGAGGACATTTTACTGAAAAGAATGACATAAGAAACTCTCATAAACCCATTGTACACCACCTGCAAAGCACCAAATGACAGATAAAATTAGCAACTGGAAAAAATCTAACTGCTATAGTACAGACATAGATCTTTTTCTCGTTGATTCAGACCAGAACAGACCTAAAAGAAGTGTTAGACTAAAATTATGCAGTGAAAAAAAAGAAAACTTTAATACCATTTTGAAGGTGCACAAAAACAGATGTCTTTTCAAAAATGGGAAGCTCACACTATCTTCTGTTTGAATAATAAAAGAAGGTGCCCAATTAGAGTTTTCAACAATGAATTGAGTTTATTCTGCCCAACTTCATTTTTTAACACAAATGGAACAAAGAGAAGTAAAGTCAATTGAAAGCATGATTTCTGACTCAGTTTTTATCAGTAGAAAGATATGTCTGTCTATTCTGGGAACTCCTCTGAAAAGAAAATCCATGCTTTTGCAGCCCTTTACAAATAGACCAACACTAAACAAAAATTAGAAAAAAATGCTTAACTGGATTGCCCCATTTGTTGTGTTATAGTGGGTTTCCTCTGAGTGCTTTGGTTTTCCTTCTAAATGTACAAAGAAATTAAAGTTAGGAGTAGGTACTTCGTTATTGCCTGTAGGTTAGCTACTTACTTACTGCTTAGTTACTCCCACAAACCCCTCTCTCTCATCCTCTGCAGGCCCCCGCCTCCTCCAACAGTAATACAGGATAAACAGGACACACACAAATGAATGGATGGATGGATGAACAGTGTTTGGGTCTGATAATAGGTTGCAGCAGAATAGAGAGCTTTTAATGTATTAGTGAGGATGCACTGAGAACAATTTAATCGATGGGAAAGCAATATAATCTGTTACGTCCTATCTGCTAACTGTGTGTTTAGAAGTAATTTTATGTAAGAAACATAGAAATGAGGTAAAAGTAAGGGTGAGAGTTCACACCAACACTTCACAGCTTCCCCTCACAAGTTCATAAACGCCCTATGTACGATCACAGAGCGCTTTCCTGTTGGTGATTAAAATTGTGATGCCCCACAAATGTGTTGCACAGCTGTAAAAGTGTGTTAGAAAAAATGTTAATATTGCATTAGTGTGTAATTGAAAGTCCAGAAGATTGGACATTTTCTTGTTTTTCAACAATGAATTACATTGGAAATAGTCACAGTCTTTGACACGGACCAACACAAAGAAACTCATTGTCAAAGTCAAAGAACTTCTGATCAAAATGTGGATAAGTTAAATAGAAAGTTATGTCAAACCAAAAAAAAGTCAAATTGAGTGGAGCACCTTATGCAACTGTGTCAACCTTGAGTCTGTATCTCTTTTAAACATTTTCACCATTTTACTTTGAAAAACTTCTCAGGCTGTGTGTTGCATTGGTACCATGAGTTAACAGCAAGTGTGAAACACTGCCACTACTGGATTGGTTTGTGGTGCTGAATTTGACTTGGCCACAGGGCCTGCTGAAGGGAAACAACCAGCAGGGTGACGATGGTGTATTTCTGCAGACATACAGATTTTGCATTAAACCAAACACAAACCATGCCAGTAGTCTATTGTGAAAAACGCCTGATTTTGATGTCATCAGACCACAGAATATTTTGAGTGAGATGCCAAGAGAAGCATTCTTGTATGCACAGTATCTCAGATCCTGGAAACTATAGGTCTTTCACTCATTACAATAAATCCTGTGACATGTGCAAGGTAGCAGCATCCAAGAAATAAAGAATTTACCTTCTTTTTGCTGTATTGGAATCTTGGTTTATGGCAAATTAATAAATGTATGTTGTCAGTGTTCGGGTACACAAGTTGATTCTTCATTTTGTCTGTCAAGTGTTTTGGTGTCATTAGAGCATTTTGGATGTGAAATTAACTGTTGTGCTGTATGTCAGTAAAGAGAACTGTGAGATTAGTTTTATACTTAGTATAGAGAAATGTTAGCAATTTAAAAAACCCTGTAAACTATGGACTTCCAGTTTATCCAGAAGATGGTGCCATTGACTCGAATACAGAACTTGAATCTGATCTTAATTCTTAGATAGATGAAACCAGACCCCAAACTTTATAACTGAAACACATAACAAAGTGTGCATTATAGCACAAATGCAGAGTCAAACACAAGACTCCACAAGAGGACCTTAAGAGAGACTGTAGAGGACAACAGAACTGATCCTGTGTCGACTAACATTAGTCACACAACTGCTACACTGTCAGCTTGCCAGCCTCTGCCATAAGAGGAAAACAGTAACTAAACATTTGTCTTATATGTGTGTAGCTAGCCATCAGTACTAATACCTTGTTCCTCTTGCAACCCCTGTGCATGAAACTTGTCTTGTTGAAAGTCAGCAGCACTGAGGTAACTGGTACTGATTACTGCAACTCTATACACTGTGCCTTAATGACTCAGGCTAAAATGTAAACATTATTAGCTATTATTAGCCACTGATACTGGCATCAGAACCATGGGTCATGTACAAATTCAAGAATTTCTTACTCAGCCTGGACTTCTTATGAGTAGAACATATAGACAGGTAAGATGTCTTGTGGGCCTCCTGTATTTGCAAATGAAATTATTTGTGATCTTGCAGAAATAAACTATTTGGCTTCATAAGATTGCCCAGCTCCCTACTGGGGTTTTCCTCTCATAGTCCAAAGACAAGTTAAGGGAACTGGAATTTTTTTTACTTGAATGTGTTTTACTGGGACAGATTTTGACTGTGCGGTGTGTGTACATCCTTCACATCCAATGCATACTGGGACAGACTCCAGCCTCCTTTGAACAATAAACAAAAAGAAGAAAATTGATGAACTGTGTTTATGCATATTGTAAAGCTGCAGCTGAATAGTGAG